GAAGAAGGGACTCTGCATCCAAAACGCGTTACGGTTCCAGCCAGTTTTATCGATCATATCGTGATTTGTGACAATCCAGAAGAAGATCACCGCCAATCTTCGAGCTGGTTTTTTGACCCAACGCTCTGTGGTGATATTCGTAGTCCGGCTCAACAATCCGCCCCTTTGCCTTTAGATATCAGAAAATTAATTGGGCGTATTGCTTGCCGCTATCTCACGGAAAATTGTGTGATTAATCTCGGCACAGGGATCCCAAATGATGTGATTGGTGAAATTATTCAAGAAGAAAATGCCAGCCAGCGCGTCGATATCACGGTGGAATCGGGTATTTGGGGTGGTGTACAGGCCGGAGGAATTGACTTTGGATTGGTTCGTAATTATCTTGCCATGAGTCAGTCACCAGACCAATGCTCTATTTACAACCGGAGGCAGGCGTTGATATTACCGTATAATGGGGCGCAGGGGAAATTGGATGCTAATGGCCATGTTAATGCAAACCTTACTAGGCAATATCTGCCCATGCTGGGGAGTTCATTGATATCCACTCAGAATGCTGCCATGTCGTATTTTGCCTCAAAACAAAAAGACAAAAATAAAAAACGCGTGCCTGGAGTTAAACTCAACTGGATCCATCCACGACATCACCACCAAAGGCCAGCTCTTTAATCAGAATCTCACCTAAGCATCTGCTCACAATAGTGGTCTAGAACTTTCGTTAGCGAAAATTTGGTCAAGTATTAAACCATGTTTGCGGTGAAGGGAGTACATTAAAAAATTAGTTGAATCAAGTCAGACAAAATTCGTGGAGCGCAGATGTTGCAACGGCAAAATCAATCAAAACCATGCATTTGTTACTGAGCGTGCCGTTTTTACATTAGGCGACAAGGTCCTGTATTAGTTGAGTGCCCCGTATTGATCTTAGCGCAAACATTGCTTGCGCCATATGGATTTTGTGCCAGAAATTTCTCCTGATTGAAGGTGAGTCTGCTTCCTTATTTAGAGATGAATCGTTTGATCTGATTTCATATTTATAGCTTCAATATTAAAGAGGGATTTATTCATGTTAGTAAAAGATAAAGTGGCAATTGTGACAGGTTCTGCCAGAGGTATCGGTTTTGCTATCGCTCAGGTATTGGCCGAAGAAGGTGCGAAAGTTGTGATTTCTGACTTGGCGATGTCTTCTGGCGAAGAAAGTGCTAAGCAATTACAAGAAAAAGGGTATGAGGCCATCTTCATACCATGTGATATCTCAAAACGAGATCAAGTTAATGACTTGTTTTCTAAGGCTCTAACACACTTCGGCAGTATCGATGTACTCGTCAACAATGCAGGGATCAATCGTGATGGGATGCTGCATAAGCTGACTGATGATGATTGGGACAAAGTCATTGATATCAACTTGAAAGGAACATTTAACTGCATGCAGGAAGCGGCAAAATTAATGCGTGAACAAGGCAGCGGCCGCATCGTCAATATTTCATCCGCAAGTTGGTTAGGGAACGTTGGGCAAGCGAACTATGCAGCATCAAAAGCGGGTGTGATTGGTTTAACGAAAACCGCTTGCCGCGAGCTGGCGCGTAAAGGCGTCACCGTCAATGCCATCTGCCCAGGGTTTATTGATACCGATATGACCCGAGGTGTACCTGAAAAAGTGTGGGACATCATGATCAGCAAAATCCCCGCGGGTTTTGCGGGTGACCCTCGGGATGTTGGGCAATGTGTCGCGTTCTTGGCGTCAGATAAAGCGCGTTATATCAATGGG